AATATCTCACGAAAAGTAATTATGGTTTTGTGAACTGCATGAGCAGCAGCAGGTTTGTTCTTTCCGTACAACCTACAATAAGATAAATCCTGAAAGAACGAAAGTTTCATAATAAAAAGGACTCTAAAGACTGACTACCTTGTAAAAATGTAACGATTTTAGTTTCTAATATTTTAACATGGATGTACATCGTAAAAAATTGATTTTTTTTTTCACAGGGTGCATTTGTGTGTTTGATATGAACCTCAGAATTGATATTTACTGAAAGTTGTCTTCTGAGATATAATGTCGTATAGTCAATTGAGAGTAAACCGACGTTTCGGAGAAACATGTTTCCTCCATCTTCAGGGGTGAAAAGTAAGGCAAGCAAAAACCAGCATGAAGTAGTCACTAAAGAGACTGAAGATGGAGACGATATGTCCTGCGGCACGTTAGTCGAGTTTCACCAGACTACAAGGCGTTATATCTTCGTAGTCGCCTCTGTGACAGCTTCAAATCCAGTCAACAGTGACTGATTATTCTTGTGAATCTCATTGCACAATTGGACTCATAACGAGGAAGCAACGCGATCTTGTGAGATAAGAACTGAATTGTTTTGTATTATTTAGTACAAATTCACGCTCCAGCGGGTTAGAATGAAAGCGTGGGTTTAATTAGTTTCAGCGGAAGATTTGCGAACTCCTGCTGACTCCTTTATGACAAGGGGAACCTTATTTATTTTATAGGGTTTATTTAACGACCGTGACAGCGGCTCACACTACAGCTTTCGAATAATCGGATGATTAACGGAAAATTAACTGAAAACGGTATTGAAGAAATAAATGCACTAATTTGAAGTAGTATTCAAGTATCTGCATGGAGGGACCGCAGAAAACCGCAGTCACGATAGACGGTATCCGGACCGAGATGTGAACTCACAACCTCCAGAATACATGTCAGAATTTCTGCTTATTCTATCGCGAATTTTGACGACGGCGTGTAGTTTGGAAAGTGATGTAACCTGAAGATGTAGGCAGTATATTCCTTCGAAATGTTTGTAATTTCCTACCATATTACACTGTGTATGAAGCCAAAACATCACAATATGAATCCTTACGGGTGTGAAAACTTCAAAATCTCACAGGTTAATGCTTATCACCTGGATAAGTGCGATTGTGTTGCGTGTAGACATTTATCATCCATCAACTTGATCATTTATTTTTTTATTGCTAGTGGGGTGGGACTAAGTCCCTTGTACTGCGGCCACTTCTGGCCTATTGTACCAGCCCCAGATGATAGGTGAGGGTGATTGTGGAGCAATGGGCGGAATGAAGATTGGCAGGGGAAACCGAAGTACTCGGAGAAAACCTGCCCCAGCGCCACGTTGCTCACCACAAATCCCACTTGACCAGACCCGGGACCGAACCCGGGCCACCACGGTGAGAAGCCAGCGATTAACCGCTTGAGCTATGGCGCGGCCCTACTAGGTCATGTAATTCCCGAATAAGTTTCCTTGTATTTCCTGATCACATAATAATTGCACTCGAATTACTTAGTATAATTTTCTGACATTAGCATATTCCCGCTTAAACGTGAGTAATGAATACATTCAGGAATAATGCTTACTCTCCGGAAAGAAGTTTTGAGAAAACTTAAAAACAAACAGCTCACATGCACACACAACATTCGCAGGTTAATAAAACATTAGATTGACGATGTCGTAGCGCAACATCCCACATTAAAACAAAGTTTCAGACGTACACGTGACGACTTACAACAATTTGCAAAAGTAAGCTGAAATGTTAGAGAAATCACTACGCTGGCATTTTTCCGCATTTAAAATATTTGTTTTGTCACATTCAGACGAGTCGTGAGTTTCAGTCTACAAATAATAAATATAATTTCGTGCTAATATCAGCCCCTTTTTACATTCTGACGTTAACAATATTGACCAAGTTAAGTTACTTCAGAGGATTCGCTCCCACACCAAAATGTATCGTGGCAATAACCTTAAACTGCTGTTTATTTAAGGTTCGTCTTAATATTATCCCCCCACCTACACGTAAGTCTTCTATTCAGATTTCAGACTGAAATTTGTATGAATTTCTCACATCTTGTATGCATGCTATACGCTCCACCAATCTTACTTCTTCATTTAAGTACTTAATAATATTTAGTGAAACGTCTAATCATGAACCTTTCTCCACTCTCCTGTTACTCTCCCCCCTCTCAAGTACCGATACTTTCATTGCTATTCTCTTCCTAAACACCCTAGTGAACATCGTGGTCAAGTGACCAGAACTGCTTCGCTTTCAGACGGTCACGAGTCGAAATCGAGGTTCGAAGGCCGACTATTCTGAGTTTTTTCGTGGATTCCCTCATTTCCTGCAGACAAATGCGCAGATTTTCCTCAAATTACTCCACAACTAGCTATTTCAATTTGCTTCCTAATTACTTCATTAATCAACCTCATATTCGTCGTTACTGTAGACTTCAGTCTCTTCGGTACAGTCGCGGACTATGTGCTGGACGACGGCGTCACGGGTTCGATCCCGGGTCAAGTCAAGTGGCATATGTGGTGGACAAAGTGGCGCTGGAGCGAGTTTTCTCCGAGTACTTCAGTTTCCCCTGCCAATCTTCATTCCACCAAATTCTCCATCATCATAATCATCCGGGGCAGGCTACAATAGACCAATCAGTGGCCGCCGTGCCGAGTGGACCCAATTGGACTCTACCCCCCCCCCGAGCGAATTTAGAATTAAAATGGGCTGGACGACTGAGGAATCGGGTTTCGATTTCTGACAGGGGCAAATATTTCTTCTACTCTTTACAGAGTTTTCTACGATCCATCCGTATTCCTATCATGGGTATCCTGGCTTCTTTCCTCAAGGGAGTAAAGCGGCCGGAGAGAGAAGCTGACCGCTCAATTCCATCTACTACAGGGGATACTCACAATGTCGTTACGTAAGTCATAAATAAATAAAATTAGTCATCCACAACCTGTCTTCTTTTTGTTATAATGAGAAACCGAGTTTCACACCCATACTAAATGCATGAAAATTATGGTTTTGTATATTTAAACTTCACTGTGCTAAAGAGGATTCAGAACCACAGGAGAAATTCTGTACTTGATGATTAAAGCGCTATGAAATATTCTATTGCGCTCAGCTATGTCAGTACGGAATATGAAACGAACCTAATTCCATATTCACATGCCTCATAGTCTCTAGCTGTGAAAGCTTCAAGCATATAAAACATTAACAATAAACATGAAAATCCGAATCCTCTACCCTATTCTGAATTTCCTGCTATATTAACAGAATTTTCTCTGGATTGAGAAAACTAATGCCAAAACAGCTGTCAAATAATCAAACAAAACATGAAGAACCACATTTGCTATAGCTTATCTGAAAGTCTCAGAATTAATTACTGTCCCACTGCATTTATAATCCATCCGCGATTTAATGAACAGTGGCCGCGCGTGCGTATAACTTAGCAAACTCCCATCTCGGGTAGAGTAAGTATATTATTGTCTCACCTTAATTACAACACAAATGGCCAAAGAGTGTAAATGTAGCCGGAAATATTATCGCAGTGGAACAGAGCTCAAAAATAAAACATAAAATTGGCAACTGCCTGGCTAACACGTTACTGTCGGCCAGTGTTGCTTCGAGGAGGGTACGGTTTAACGCTGATACAAGGGTCATTAAATAGCGGCAGGACTGTAGTACTTTCGAATTTTCTTATATAAATGGTAAACTTTCTCCTTTCTTCGTTGGAGATACTGATATTAGAGAACTTTCTTTCGAACAACTTTCAAACTACACACAGTCCTTGGGTAGGGCATACAGAATCATTGTCACTGAGGAATGGTATCAAGACATTTAATGACAGATCAATTTCATCATTTACTCACACAGACTTTAGGACCCCTTCCTGCTCCAATCAGAATTTATTTTTGAAACAGTACGATATTCAAGGTACTCTTCTCCAAGTATAATTAGAATGATCAAGTCAAGGAGGATGAGGTGGGCAGGTCATGTAGCACGAATGGGGGAGGCGAGGAATGCGTATAGGTTATTGGTGGGAAAACCAGAAGGAAATAGACCACTGGGAAGACCAAGGCGTAGGTGGGTGGACAATATTAAAATGGATCTTAGAGAGATAGGATGGGATGGTATGGATTGGATTGATCTGGCTCAGGATAGGGACCAGTGGATGGCTCTTGTGAACACGGTAATGAACCTTCGGGTTCCATAAAATGCTGGGAAATTCTTGAGTAGCTACAGAATTGGCGGCTCGTCCAGAAGGGCTTAGCTCCATGAGTGAGTAAGTAAGTAAGTATGATATTTAAGGCTTCTGGTAGTACTTTTGGATGGACGATAAACGACTCGAGAGGCCTCTACCTAAACAAAATACATCACAGGAAAATACGACACATCTATGACCCGAGAGAGATTCGAACTTGCTTTCCCAGTGTTGTTATAGTCCAATACTGTTAGCGCCTTCGATCGCACGGTCACTGTGTTGGTGGGTTACAGTGATGTCAGTAGACAGCTCACACATAGCAGCGAATGATAGGATTAGGAAGGAAGAGGTCGTAGCCTGACCGAAACACTTGCTCCAGGTACTGAGAAAACTGAAGAAAGATCTCGTTAGGTATAGCCGATCTCCGGGCTAAGATTTGAAACTCGGAACTTCCCAATATGAAACAAGAGCTCTAATCTATCGACTGCAGCGTCCGATAATATTTATCGCACAAACCGAATCGCAATATGTAAACTAGGCGCTGGAAACTCGAATTATTCGACAAGATATTCGAACTCATTCTCGCCCTAAATAGGGCATAGCTCTTCGGCACGGCTCGACGTAAGAGTTGATAACCTTGCAGAGTTGAATACAACCCACACTTTTCGCATCCCTGGCATGCCACTAACCACCGGTGTTGCAGTACATCTTGTAGTCTTAATCTTCACTTAGCAATGGGTGAACGCGCTTTCGAAGATATCGGGAGTAATACAATATATATATGTACAGTTCTATTACAGCGTCATCGTATTTCTTCTTAACTGTTTTCAGTTTACTCCGTCCCATGATCCAGTGCGAGTACCACAGGTCAATCATCCGCATCAAGAACGGCATTTCGCATCCTTAGCGGCTGGGGAACACCCCGCGCGCACCATTCCTCAACTTCTTCGGTGGGAGGCAGGACGCCGGAGTGGTGAAGTTCTGTTGCTTGTATCGAGTGCAACTTATCGTCCGTTTCGACTTGAGGACAGCGAAATTTACCCTCAGGTATGTTATGATTCTTTATGACATAGAGCCATCTGGTGTGGAAAGAGCATATGGTTTCGGAGATTAAATAGAGCCATCCAGTCTCCATCATCAGAAAATATTTGTTGTAAATTCTTCTTTCCTGTTAATTGAATTTGAAGGCAATTACTGGAAACTGAACGTTGAAACGTGCAGGAATTCCATGTTGACGATTCTAAAAACGACATGACGCTGAGGAATAGGTATGCAGGAATTTTCGTCTGTCGGGTGCTTTGTGTGTTTTATTTAAAGGTGAATATGGCGGCGAATAATATTGCTTTATAATATCAGCTGACAAAAATATGAAATTATTGTCTTATCGAACTTAAAAAAATGTTTTATTTGAATTTATTCATTATTTAAAGAATATTGTCTTCTGAGACACGACGTCGTGTATTTTTGTAAATCTTTACCTATGTTTCGCAGGAAAGCTGGAAAGCACTAATCAGATTACAGTGCCTCTGATCTCAGAGACAATAATTTTCATAGTTACCGCCGTGAGAACCTTAAACCTCACACAGAACTCATCATTATTTATTATAATTGAATTTGTTCATGGGATGGAAATGAACCTTCATTAGTTTTCGGTTAAGACATTCGTTATATAGTAACACATACCGCAATGTTAAATCTGCCTGGTCTAATGCTGGTACAGACATGTGTGCTAAGGTGCTGCTCTTCGTGTACTATGGAAACGAGGGTACGTCACTGTCAGTTAATGACGTAGACCGTTACGTCATCATTAGAAAGTTAATTACACTCTGCCTCACGTAGACTGAGACGAATAAAAACTTCAAGAAGGAGGGTAGATCGAATATCACGGAAGCTTATATCTTCTAACATAAACAAATTGCAGAAACGCTTTTCAACTTAACGGCTACTTATGGAAGACTAACAAACAAGAAAGCACAGTAGTTTCTTACTGATAATAAATTCAGTATGAGTTTGTTTATACTCACTATACTGGTGAATAAATATCATATATATATATATCTTTTTTCAACACATTTCCTTATTCATATGCTGGTGGGAAATACAAATGTGTTGGATTAATATTTCTCTAACCAGATGGTAGAATGTAAGCGAGGATGATATAAATGGACTACAAATCTGTGTATATAGCCATACAGCCCTTTGGATCTTGGCCGCATAGTCGGTAGCACTCCTTGGATAGGGGATCAGCCCATCGAAAGGCGGTTACCTTCACGCAGAACAACATAAACACAGAATAAACGCACACAGACACCCATGCCTCCAGTGGGATTCGAGCCCACGATACCAGTGTTCGAGCTAGCGAAGACGGTTCATGCGTTAGACCGCGCGGCCACTGTGATCGGCCTGTAAATATATACGGTAATAAATAATCTTAATATATGTGTTACTTCTATTGAGAATTAACTTAATATTTTAGTTTAAAGATAATATATTTCTAATAATATTTAATTTTATGTAAGTACTGGCCCATTCCTAGTTTACAAAATAATGTTTGTTGGAAGTATGCTATGTAGTATGTAATAGCATCAAGAGGTGCTGTAAGGTATTGAACTCAAATTTTATCAGACTTCTCAAACACGACTTCCTCCAGCACCTCAACATGATTACAGATCACTTTTTTAAAGATACGGTTTTCTTCTTGAATGTGAGGCCGTGTATTCTGGTGCTCATTACCGAAATGGAGGCAGTAGGTTCCCAGAGAAAAATTATACCTATCTGCGAGACAAAATCCCGTCGCGTCCCACGTGACAGTCAATTTCATCGTTACAGCCACGAGAAGCTCAGATCTCACATTTTTCTTCCTAGTTCGTACACCGAAATATCAAGATACCATAACCTAATGTATAATGTACTGTAATTTCCTTTAAACAAACTTTGATTCGCAACATTCATGTGTTTTAATGAATCATGACGAATTCAAGTAATCATTTCATTCAGTGTGATTTTAATTTGATCACAAGAAATTAAAAAAATAGTGGGAACTTTTAACTGTGTCGGATTTAGTGTTTATGCAACTAGCATCGTGTTTTAAACATTTATTCAGCTCCTCGGTACATGACGTTTTGTCATAAATAAACACTTTGAAATGTTCCCTCGCAACCCTGGATTTGATGCCGAGGTCTTTGTAACACTAACCAGTGCTATTTATTCATTTCTGGTAACGAAATATGCTGCACTGGAGTAGGTCCTACCGGGACATACGTAGTCGTACTACATTAAAAGAGTTAACAGAAATTTTAAATAAATTTTAACATGAAAAGACCTGAATATTCTTTCATTTCAGATATGTTTCGTTTCACCAGAATTAGGTAGTCTCTGTCTAAATACTGAAGACTGAAGATAGCTTCTCCCGTTTTAGCTACCAGAGCTGGGGGCTGCCTCTAATGGCTTTTCCCTACCCTTTGGCATCACCAACCTTCAGGACTCACACTCCGAACTCTCCGTGATTTTAGTCAGCAAGCGAACACTACCGACTGAGCGATCGCCGCTTGTCGTCGAAGTTTAGTGCCAACTTTTTGCGTATAGAGGGTGTCGCGTGGTCAGCGCAACGAATCTCCACGGCCGTTAATTTCGGTTTTCTAGACCGGAGTAGCTATAGCTCCTCAATTATCGTCACGAGGCTGAGTGTACCTCGTTCCAGACCCACTACTTCTCATAAAAAATCTGGTAGCACCGGGAATCGAACCCGGACCTCTGAATTTGTAGCCAGGAGCGCTGACCAATAGACCACAGAGACAAACTCTAACATTAACACACGACTTCAAATACAACACGTCTGTGTATTTATGATCCAAATCACAAGTCAGACATACACCATGTATGCACATTTCACGATTAGTGTGCAATATTCTTATTTGTTCATTTGTTCCTTTTCTTTCTCTTCACTTTTTTTTTCCTCCCTTTGTGTGTCCCTTTGTTTCTCGCTCTCTTCTGGTGAGACTCTAGCTTTTTCTTTTTATTTTGTTTATAGTTAACTATCAGGTCTAGAAAACCGAAATTAACGGCCATAGGGATTCGTTGCGCTGACCACGCGATACCCTCTATCCACTAAATTTGGCAATAGCTTCGGCGACAAGATGCGGTCGCTCGGTCGGTATAGTTCGCTTGCGTACTAAAGCCACGAAGTTTGTTATTATGGTTAACTAACGACAGCGCCGAATGATAGGATAATTAATGAATTTGAAAGGACGTGGAAGGAAGCGGTCGTGGCCTAATTTGAGGAACTATTCTGGCATTTTCCGGGAGATACTGAGGAAAACCACAAAGAAATTAGTCAGTGTAGCCGATCTGTGGTCCGAGGTCGCAGCCCGGAACCTCCCGAATATGAAGTAAAACGGTAACCCACTCGACCGTGACATTATCCAATTCTTTCCTTATTGTGACAGGCACGATCCTTTTCAGGCAAACTTCTTGAATCGTGGTACTGGTAAAATGTTATATAAATGCATTCAAGCTGACTAAATTTCTTATTTTTACTTTCCATTTCCACGTAAAACAGTTGTAATTTATTATAGATAATTTTACATTACTTTCTACATTGTATTCTCGAGGTTAGAAACGACTTATATAAAGATAGGTTGCAGTCTAATCCAGTTTCGGCTTTAAACAGGTATTACTGGGTGTGAAGTCATGCACGCCTTCTGACGAGTCACGTTTCTGTGTAGGCTCAACTTCAAAATATTATCTGTATTATTATTACTAATCCTGGAAAGCGTCCAAATTATTTCATGGATCATTACTCTTTCTGTATTTCTATTAATAAATTATCAATAATGAGAGTAAAAAGAACTGGTTTACTTACAAGGTCATGTTTTCCTTTCATGCATGTGATCAAGCAAGTATGTACATGGAGCGCTGATATTTTCATTAGCCCTAAGCGTTCTGCTGTTGATGAACGTAGTGAACCTAATCAATAATCATTCACTTTAAGAGGTTTATTTTATGGTGAAGGCACAGAGTTATGGCAAATACTTGGCAATTATGCTTAAAATATAATTTCAAATTAAAATAAAAAAGACCGATGTAATTATTATCGCTTATTTACATGGCGTATTAAAGTTCTTGGTACATTCTACCTAAATTAACTGACACCGCTGATATCCCGAATAGATTTTATAAATTTTCGAAAGTTGCTTTCGCTTTCATCTTCAGATGGTTGTAATTATACCGTGATATTTTACATTTCTTATTTTTTAATGCCAGTGGCGACCCCTAAGAACGACTCTGTAACCTTGAATACCGGGCTGCACACTATCCTATAGCTTATATTATCGAGGTCGCTGGTTAAGCGTACTGACCTAATGTATAAATGGTCTCAAGTTCGATCCCAACACTCACTATTAATATTTACAAGTAAATTAGTAAGGAACCTGTCCGTAGTCTATAATGACAACTCATCAACTGAACACGGGAATAGAGTCAAATTTCGAAACATGGTGTGTGACAAATACCTCAAAAAAGGGAGAGAGGGGGACAAGGTAAAGCTATCCCTGTAACAGACCGTGAAGGCCCGTAGGGTTGTGAGACATTGAGGCTCTCACATTTTCTAGACAGTCGGCTCATAGATGGCTGTAAGGTTGTCAGCGTTACGTGACGGCCGTCCTTTACACCCCAGAAGATTCCTGGTACTCATTTCTGCTAGAGGTTGGAAGGATTAGATAAATTGAAAGAAATTCACCACATAGGGACCACGACCTTCCGGCTTGTAGCATAGGCCTCAACCAACTACGCTACCGCCTGCCCTGCAACAAATACCTCAGACAATGAACAATGTTCAATATTAACATTAACCAACTAATTAACTTCATGAAGAACGGAGTCCTTCTTGAGAAGTCAAGACGTAAGCCCGAGTTCCTGCTTAAGACTTTGTAATATGCAGGTTTATTTCGGCGAGTTGCAAGATTCCGTGCAATTCGTAAGTTATTAATAGAGTGGGTCGTCATGTTGCGATTTTGATCGTGTCCCCTAAAACAATTACGTATATATCA